AATTTATTTTATTTCATTTTATGACTTGGGTGTTAATTTTTTTTGAACTGTTTATTGTATATTTCTAACAATACTTGTATGTTTTCTGCAATATGATAGAAATATGGATGGTGATATGTTATATTAGAGCTTTTTGCCAGACTTGTCTTGAGTGAGTCATCTCAATATTAGCATGGTTAGCGCAGAATTAGTGTGTCTGCGCATCATGAAGAAGATTGTGGAGATGGTCAGCTGCATACTTAGCAATGGAAGAATACATTTAGCCAGCTTGCCAGGCTTGTGACATTTGTATTTAAGACAATGGTTTCTGTGTATGCCTAAGATCAAGTTATTCTTGTTGCAAAGAGTAGTGGTTTTCAATGGAACAATTGATGTATATGCTTGAGTTGTGTTGTCCCTTGTTTCTGTAAATCAACTCAACCTGGTTATTGCACCTCATTGGCAGCTGAAATGGTTGATATAGTATGAATCAAACCAAATTAATAAATCTAGTATGCATATGTACGTTTCAACTCACCATACACTGTATGATTTATTTAGTTAATTATGGGATACTTGTAAATCCCTACTACAAGAGCAACGGTTTGAGGTCTAACCCAAGATAAAATGTTGAAGCTGCAGGTTGAGACATTTTATCATGGGGAGGACTTTATGTCCTAGAAAATTCTGAGTACGAACACCACCCCAAACCGTTTATATTGCACACAATTCATACTGGGTGGGGGGATCATGCCCCTATTTTCAAATGGAATATGCCGTAAAATTCCTCAAACAAAAATTTGTGGTAATATTTCTCATACAATTTTGCATATTTAAAGTACCATATTTGTTCAATACACCGCCCATCTAAAACCTCCCCCATGGGCAATGTTTCAGCAGCTGGATGATCTTTTGATTACAAAAAATGCCGTAAATTTTATTGGCGAGTCACAAAAATCTAGTGCAGATCATCAAAGATTCAGAATTGTGCCGTTGTTCTATATTTTCATTTACAAACAAAATTAAAACCAGTGTATTATTACACTAAAATCAATGAGTATTTTATGTTATTATGAGGAAATACTGACAGCATTATTCTTGGTATCAGGGTATCGAATAAATATGGTTTTACCGTTTATGGAGCAGTGTATCTATCAGTTCAACTATTGTGTGAGCTTCCGAGTTTAAACCTAACTTTTGTACAGTGAAACTTGTCACATGATCTGTATAAAAAATGAGGAAAATTTATGGAAACAAATATACTTGAAATATTTGAGAAAACCATTCAACAGGACATTTAATTAAGTCCTGCAACAGAACATTCTGATTGGTCAAAAGCACTATGGTGTTTTAAGTTATGTTATGTCTCTGAACTTGAGCTTGCAGTGCAAAAATCGAATGATTTATTTCAATTACAGTGTCTGAGTGTCATCTGAACTTTAGTATCATTCATTTAGAACTTCTAGAGACCCTTGATGTATTTAGGGTGGTTATAAATAATGGCTGCCCTATGTGAGCTGTGAACGGGAAGGCAACTAGAATGATGGCAATTTCCTCCTTACTATCATATGTTGTACCAATCATAACATATACATTGTATTTAATTCATTTTTACCTTGCCCGTACCATCAAAGATGGAAGGGAAAGGTATATTAGGGGAAAAATTTTGTCCGGCGTTGTTGTTGTCGTCATCGTCATCGTCGTCGTCGTCGTTAATAATTGTTATTGTGTGCATAATATTTACTAATTCTATTCCAAACTTTATCAAACTTGGTCACCTTATTCATCAGTATAAAGTCTTCCCTGAGTTTGAACAACAGATGTCCTGTATGAAAATATCATGCAAAAATTGAGAAAATCTGATAAAATATTTTGACTGTTTCTACTTGACTGATCACTGGTGATACACATCAAAGGTCACTGATCTCAGTGGAAATATGCATTGTTGTATGTGTTCAATGAAGCAAATGAT